TAAGTTTCAGCCTTCTACGTTGCCTGGTTCGCGAACAGTTTCTCGCCTACAAATTCCTTTGGGGTTCTCGTGCGCGGCGTTTAGGCGCGTATGGGGGAAGATCTTAAAACGGGAGGATGACACACGGGGTAGAAACATATATCCGTCTCATTAGCGGGATTTAGGCGCGTATGGAGGAAGATCTTAAAACGGGAGGATGACACACGGGGTAGGAACATATATCCGATTAAGGCGCGTATGGGGGAAGATCTTAAAACGGGAGGATGATACACGGGGTAGGAACATATATCCGAAGTTAGGCGCGTATGGGGGAACATCTTAAAACGGGAGGATGACACACGGGGTAGGAACATATATCCGAAGTTTCAGGCCCCCAGCTTTCCTGGTTGCGAGTTGAAAGTGGGTGACAAAATGCACTCGCTTTGCGCACGCACACAGCCCAGCTTTCCTGGTTGTCGAGTTGAAAGTGGGTGACAAAATGCACTCGCTTTGCGAACACACACACAGCACGCACACACACACAGACAGCTTCTCGACAATATGCGTTTTTGCTGGTTGTAGCAGCGCTATAGCACACACACACAGACAGCCTCTCGACAATATGCGTTTTTGCTGGCTGTAGCTGGTATAGCGCTGCACAGCAAAAACGCATAAAAAACACAAGAAGTGCTTTCGACTTTGCATTTCTTTCATTTAGCTGCAAGAAAGTTTTCTTTTCTTTAAAGTTCAGGAAAAAGAACGTACTATGCAGCCAGAGCACCAGATGCAGTAGCACTCCGCAAAACCAGTAGAATCTTACAGAGGCCACTACGCCTGAATTTCTTACTGTCCAGAGCAAAAATTTAATGGCTTTTCAGCAGTTAGATAGTTGTAAACAAGCTTTCCGTCTTATTCTCCGACAAAGGAGCTACAAACTGTGGCAATCGAAGCTCACAAGCATGTAAGCGTAATTCAGTTATGAACATGCAGGATATTTCAACAGTTGGCCAGCACACCGATTGCTGGTGCGAAGATGCGTTTTTTACGTAGTTCCCCGCGGGTTTTTTTCGCTAACGGTACCGGTTTTCCTGCAGATACTTCTAGCTGAACGAACTGAGGCTGACCGACAGAACTGTCAGGAAACATTCACTTGAAATTCCAGTTTTCTAACTTTTCAGATTCCCGAGTTAGCAATTTACCCGCAAAAAACTTTCACGAGCCCGTATGTGGGAACCGCGCACACTTGGGGGCTAGGTTTGAAATCAATAAGACCTACATGGATGGGAAACTTCCCCCCTGTAACTTCAGCTTTCTAGCTTTTCTGGTCCCCAAGTTCGTGACTTATCCGCAAAATAATTTCACGGGCCCTTAAGTGGGAACCACGCACACTCGGGGGCTGGGTTTAAGCTCGTTAACATCTACGTGGACGGGGAATGTTACCCGCGAAATTATAGTCTTTTAGCTTCTCAGATTCCCGAGTTAGTAACTTACCCGGAAAAAAACTTTCACGGGCCCGTAGGTGGGTACCACGCATACTCGGGGGTTGAATTTGAGCTCATTAATACCTGAGTGGACGGGAAAGGTCCCCTTAAAATTTCAGCCTTCCAGCATTTCCGGTTCCCGAGTTAGCAACTTACCCGAGAAAAAACTTTCACGGGCACGTGCATGGGTACCACGCGGGTAGGGGTGTCCATTTTGGGGATTGGGGCCCGTACATGCATGTAGATTAAGTTCCCAAAGTTTCAGCCCTATAGCTTTCGTAGGTCTTGAGATGAAAAATTGGTACAGACGAACACACAGACACACACACAGACAACCCCTCGTCAATATGCGTTTTCTGCATTGCACAGCTGCAAAAAACGCATAAAAACTAGTGCATTTCGTGGATTTCGTCATCCTGCGTTCAGTGAATCCTGTTGATTGTCGGATTTTCATTTTCCAGTGAACGACCGGCCACCGGAAATTATTCCATGTAAAATTTACAGCAACAATGCGTGCTGGAATTTAAGGTTTTGCGCGGCCCCATTCTTGAGCAACGTACTGTTCAACAAACACTGCTCAGGTCGGTACCATCTACAAATTTATCAGCAAATACTCTGGCATGCATATTCAACATAAGTAATGGAAACTAGCCTGGTGTTTTTCTTGCATTTGAAGACTTGAAGGCGAGTTTTCGGGCGTCATATTGGGCACTGTTGATACTTCACTGGCAACTAGATCCGACGGTACTTGGTTAGAGTTTGGGGTAGTTTTTTCTGTCTGAGCCACAGCTTTAGAAGAAACTTTCTTCTTAGGCGACTTAATGCTGATGTTTTTCACTTGCGTTTGCTGAGATGGTCCAGTATGAGCTGTACAGGATGAAACAATGGATGTTGCAATAGACATCGGCTCTGAGTTCAGCGGAGTCGCTGCGGAAAGCTCTGTCGAAACAGGCTGCTGTGTAGTATCCTGAGGCTTCCAGGTAGATTCATTGACTGGGACTGCAGCTTTAACTGAGGCTTGAACTTGAACTGGAGATGTTTCGCAATTTAGCCCTTGAAGTGCAGCAGTAGTGGGAACACTTATTTCCGTTTCCGCCACTGTATGAACAGATGATGGCTTTGACGGGGCTTTCTGATCAGAATCACCAATGGTTGGTGGTGTAGAAGATATCGAAACACTTTCAGGAAGTGCAGCTGAAGCTACTGCGCCTTCCAATACATTTTCATGGAAAATTGAGATTTCGCTTGTGGCTTCTTTAGCTTCTTCATTAGTAACTGACGGTTCCTGAGGCATGTTATCTAAAAAATTTACAA